AAAAAGAAAACGAGGAGGGAAATTCAGAGCGGAAAATGTTGAGCCACGGCCCAGGCGCTCAGTGTTGCGGGCCCAGCTGCGGGCTGCGAAATTACCGACGGTGCTTGGCCGAGAGCTGCCAAAAAGTGCATGTGACCCTGCACGAGCCACGAGCAGAAGAGTGGAGAAGGATGCCAAATGCTGCTGGTGAAGGTGCAGGTGCAGGTGCAGCTCTGATTTGCCCCGACCGAGGCTGCGCTGCAAGCTTCGCACATCTTCAGGCCAGGGTCTGTGCCCTCCGACCAATCAGCCTTGCGCGATCTGTCTAGTCCTCGTCCCCGACGCTCGCTTCTTGCTTCCCTTCATCCATCATCGACGTCTTTCTTCCTGCATTCCACCTGTAGAATCGATTTCGAGCCCGTCGCAATCATGGTCTGGTCTCCTCCCGTCTCGCTTGCGTCTGCCAAGGACAAGACTAGGTACGTGCCGACTCCTCCCCGCTTCCTTGATCTCGTCCATCCTGCTGATCCCGCTCTTGTTTCGCTCTTGTTACGCGCTATTAGCTTTGCGTACGAGTCTACAGTGCACCGCTGGCCTGCCATCCTCACCCAGGTGATCGACAGCATCTACAGCGCCAACTATGCGCTCTCCTACTCGCGCACCAACCAGTCGGCCAAGATCGACGAGGGCAAGCAGATCATCGAAAAGATCGCCGCGCTCAAGCATGACATGAGCCGCGACCGCCCGCTCGAGCCCATCGGTGTCGTTTCGGGCAAGGACGCTGGCGAGGGCCCTTCCACCGAGCTCTTTGACTCGGTCATCGACAAGGAGCACTGGACCTGGTTCCAGGCGCCCTGGCTCTTTGCCGAGTGCTACCTCTACCGCCTGCTGAGGACCTTCTTCGCGCGCAGCCAGCACTGGAAGCAGTACGATCCCTTCTCCAAAACCAAGCTCGACACGTTCAAGAGCTCCGGCAACGCCATCAGCGCCCTTGCCGTCACCATCGAGGAGCTCGTGGCCAAGTCGCTCTCGTCGGAGCAGGGCCCCGAGTCCACGCCGCAAGGACGTGAGATCCTCTTCCACGAGATGGCGCAGATGTCGCTGTGGGGCAACGCCACCGACCTCAGTCTGCTGACCAACCTGTCGTACGCCGACCTGCAGGCGCTGCAGACCACGGGTCGCGAGCAGCAGGAGGCACGCAGCAAGTACATCCTCGCCAACGACCTCGACAAGGCGTGGACGCGCATCTCGTCGCTCAACAACGGCCGCGTCGACATTGTGCTCGACAATGCCGGCTTCGAGCTGGTGACCGACATGATCTTTGCCGACTGGCTGCTCACCACGCCGCACGTCGGCGAGGTGGTGTTCCACCCCAAGAACATGCCCTGGTTCGTCTCGGACGTCACGCCGCCCGACTTCCGCCACACGATCGAGTCGCTGCTCGAGCCCAGCTTCTTTGCGCGCCAGGAGGCGGGGCAGGACCGTCACCGCAGCGTGAGCCGAAGCCGCGACCTGCAGGCCGACCCGTCCAAGTACTCGTACAACGCCTCGGGCGGACAGGGTGCGCAGCCGGCTGGATCGCGATCGCTGCAGATGGCCGATGGCAACGAGCGTGGTCGTTCGCCGCACCCCTCGGGCAGTCTGCACCTCCAGGCTCGCGAGGGCAGCGTCGACTCGACCGGACGTGGCCGCACGCCGGCGGGCAGCCGCAACTTCCAGATGGACGCGGCGTACTTTAAGAATGCGCGCTCGCAGACGATTTCGCCGTCGCGCTCGTACGTGATGGACAGCTCGCGCTTCTCGTCGCTCTCGATCCACGACGAAGAGCCGAGCGGCGACGACGAGCGTCACGGCCGCGGGCGCTCGACGACGGTCAAGGACGAGACGCCGTCGTCGCAGACGCCCGTGCAGGCGATGGTGCGCCGCTGGATGAAGCACATGGAGTCGGGCCGCTTCAAGCTGTCTGTGCCGCTCGACACGCCGCTGGGCGCCGACACGGGTGCGGCCAATGGATTCTGGACGCAGCCTGTGTCGTACGCCAACATGGCGACGCATGCGCCCGAGCTGCACAAGGAGCTCGCGACGCAGAGCGACCTGGTGATCTTCAAGGGCGATCTCAACTACCGCAAGCTCACCTCGGATGCCAACTGGAAGTCGGACACGAGCTTCCGCGAGGCGCTCGGCCCGCTGGCTGGCACCGTGGAGATCCTGGCGCTGAGGACCAACAAGGCGGATGTCTGCGTGGGCCTCAAGCCGGGACAGGAGGCCGAGGTGGAAAAGGAGGACGCAAAGTGGCGTGTAGACGGAAAGTGGGCCGTCGTGCAGTACTGCCCTCGAGACAAGTAGAGGCGATGCGAGTGCACCCGATGACAAGAAAGAAATCTGAATTGCTGTAGAGCCATCATGTTGGTTGTGCGCTCTTGTCCCGTTTCTGAAGCTGTCTGGACTCTTTGGAAGGTTGGAGGGTATCGAGTTGTAGAGGCGCAAAGGATGGAGGGAGGTTCGACTTTACGTCTGATCCCTTTAATCGGGTGGCCTTGATTTTTTTGCTCTGACTGACGTAGATGTGGTATCGGTTGTAGAGGACAACTTCGGCGAGGGCCGTGAGGAGTGCGACGAACATGGAGACGAGCACCTTGTGGGCCGGGGAAGCGTTTCCGCTTGCCCACCACGCAGCTGTGGCCGTGGCGAGGGCCGAGAGGAAGATGTTGAGCATGACGCTGAGTTGACGCTGTGCATCGCGCCACGCCTGCTCCTCGTTCTCGGCCATTGCTTTGCGCGACGCAGGATCGAGCGATGTTGGCGTAGACGATGCAAAACGCTGTGCGAGGGGAAGCGTTGGATCGACGCCAGCGATGTTGGTGTAGGAAGAGGGGATTTTGTATGCACCGGTGGTGTGCGTGGTTGAGCTCGACATGCGCGAGTATTCGGCCTGTTCGTGCGCTTTGCGTATCGCTGCCAGAGACTCTTCCAGCTCCTTTGACTACGTACAGAGTGGCTATTGGTCAGTTACCTGTAAAGGAAAAGGAGACATGGGTGGATGCAACTTACCCTGAGGAAGACTGGTTTGGGCGGCACATGGACGCGGGAACCCCTGACGAGGGCCGAAAGCTTGAAAGCGCCGTCATCCCCTCCATTTCCATCAGCACCGAGCTGTGTGGATGCCCAGCTTGCGATACTGATCAGCAGCGTATGTTCCAACACCACCGCTTGCTCTTGCTTTTCCGCGCTGGGTGCGGGTACCGCTGGGCTTTGTGCAGTCATCTTTTCCGCCTGCTGCAAAGGTTGGTCTGCCAGCGCGGCTCGCAGCGATTGCAATGCATCATGCTGTGAATTTGTAGCGGCGATTTCTCGCAAACGCCGCGAAATGGTCGGAGACAAGATGAGCTTCGTCATGGCTCTGTCCAAGGTGTGCTTGTGAAAGGGAGGGCGGCGAGCGAGAAGACGAGAGGCAAGATTGGGTTGTTCAGCTGCTGCAGGCTTCGTCGGAAGTCGGCCCAGCACCGAGCAATTCCTCCACACACATGCGCGCGACTCAATCGGCCGAGTGAGGGCCTCCAGGTGTTGGTCTCGGTGTGCGGTGCGGGGAGCGAGGTGGCGCGTCACGCTAGCGCGCTTCCGCTTCTGAAACATGCACCTTGCCGATCCGATTGATTTTTGCCCTTCGCCACGGGACACCGTACGGCATTGCATGCTCTGCTCTCTGTCCCTAGCGCACGCATTTGCAATGGCGAGATACAGCCTGAAGATGTTGAGCTGAGGAGATCGGCTGCTGTCAAGGCTTGGCCCCTGCGTACCCTTTGTCAGCGTGATTGTGTGGGGCAGGAGAGAATTGCGGGTGGCATCCGATGCATGAATCACAGGCCGCCGCTCGGATCTTCCGAGCCTTGAAAGCGGGCGTGGCGTGTGCCAAAGGGCGAGGAAAAAGTGTGATTTCAGCAGGGCAGGGCGGAGTGGAATCGGCTACGGCTGTCCAAAATCCTTCGCTGCTCCTGTCTGTCGAGCCAAGCTGCGGGAAAGAAAAGAAAGCTTGAGCCTGCATGTGGGCGTGCTGGGCGTGCGGTGCGGTGCTGTGCGGCTCACGACTCCTTTGCTAAAGTCACAGGGCACACCTGCACCTGCACCGACACATGCAGTGAGCTGCACCTGCACCTTTGCAAGCACACTGCACCGCACACCGCACACCGCACACCGCACA